TACTTAATATAAGATCACCAAGCTTCTCCAAAGCTGCTAAAAATCAAAAGAAGCTCCCGAAGAATACGAAAAATCTCACAAGAATATCCCAGCATTTTAGAGAAGTTCTCAAAACGTCATAGTACCTTCAAGTACTTCAAAGGATTTTCCAGCATATACCAGGTTCAAAATAATGCACAATATATCTAGCATAAACCAAAATTTACAACACCGGTGTTGTGGTTTTTTTTATAGTTCTAAATAAACCGAAACCAGGATTTAGGACTACGTTGAAGAAGCCCGTAGAAATGATGGAATCGAAAACAACCAAAAATACACTAACGAAAAACCAAAAGCAACATTTCGAACGCTAGGCAATTTCCGGGACACTTGATAATGTGGGACGTTTTGCAGAACATTTGGTAATGCGGGACAGGAAGGCGAATCCGGGACGTCTTGTCACTTTAGCGTATTCCTTACGAGGCAAGGAAAAAGTGCGCCGAACACCTCAAGCCGATGCAATGCAAAAGCGCAGTTTTACGACCATTTCCGCCATTTGGAAAGCTACCGAAAAAGTAGTTTAGTTGGGTGAGAAATGCACAATAAAAAAACGCACTAGGTGGGGTTATGTTTTACACAGCAAAAAAAATGTAATATCGATCAACGTAATTCAAGCTGATATATGAAATAATGATGTAATAGCAAAACGCAGATACAATATTACATCAATGGATGTAATTTTGTTCGCAAAATCGATGTACATCGTACAATGTGATATTACACAACCGATGGATTGACCTGGTTGCAGCAGTTTCGATGTAATATTCAACAACTTTTTTTGCTGTGTATGAAATTTCTCTTGTCGTTGTTTTCACTACGAAATTTTATTTTATTAACTTACCTCGACTCACTAATGGCATACAATAATTACAACATCATTTATTCAATCACAAATCACAAATTTTAGCACTTGGACTCACAAATTACAGCATAGAAAATGCCAACCTGAGATCTGCCAACTTGCGAATAAAAGAAAGCGGACACCTCATTGTTGGGCGGTATGTCTGGGCGAATTTTTCGCCAGAAAGAGTAAGAATAACATTAATCTCACTCATCTTCATCTAAGAGAATCTTCATATGCTAGAACTCTTTACTCCTTGTGTGAATGTGAATCATTCGTATTAATTCACTCCACAGAAAATCCCCATAAAGCAAACCCCACACGCATCAATATATTGACGCAAAGGGGAATTATTGACAATAATATTGATGATGTGAATTCAGAAATATTGTCAATCTCGATATATTGACGTCAATATAGAATGTATTGACAATACGATTATTGTCAATAAAAGTAATCGTGTAGGGTCCACTTAACGATCTATCAACCTGTGCGCCATTGGCGTTGACGGCGACTCTGTAGCTCTTTACTCCTATGAGAAAATCCATAAGCAAACGTCAGACTGTGCGTGAAACATGGCGGACTTTGTACTATCCTTTCACTCCACCGAAAATTCCCATAAGAAACTGTCTAAATTTGCTGGAAGAGCAAATTTTTCGACGGTGCCGTCAACGCCAATATTTCGTAGACCCGAATAGAAGTGAACTTCAGTCAATATTTAACCTGTCAAAGCGAAAAAGAATTGACCGATATTCCTAAACAGAGCTGAGTGCTATACATAGGTGCACTGAAAATGATTTTATGGTTAAATAAACATTTTTTTTTCAAGAAAAATATTTTGCGTTCTTTATTGAGCGCCTCCTTCGCTTTAAAAAAAAAAGTGACTTTAGTGACTTTTTGACGAAAATAGAGACTTTGAAGTGACCACCTTAAAAAAAGTGACAAAGTCACTAAAAAGTGACCCGCTATCAGCCCTGCAAACTGCTTCCGAATTTCAACCTATCGAACTTTTTCACTGATAACGAGTTAAGAAATCTATTTAATATTTACTATACTTTTGCTGTAACATCAAAACTACCTTTCGTAATACTCCGTCAAATCTACGTTCGATTCTTGTATACAACCTCTTACTTTGGTTAAGCTAGACGTATTTTTTTAAGCTCTCGCTATCACCGGCTAAATACTAAATTATATCACTTCAGTCTTTCTGAAGAAGAATATCGCTAACATACTGTTACAACCGCTACAACATCTGTTCCGATTGTCCATCTCGTGTGGCATTTTTCCATCAAATTGGAAATTTGGGATAATGTTCCCTGTATATAAAAGGGTAGTAAACGAGATGTGGATAATTATCGTGGAATTACATCGTTGTGCACGATTTCGAAGCTATTCGAGTTAGTAACCATAGAGCCTCTGGCTTCATTTCCGGTCGATCTAATACCACGAATCTTCTGTGTCTGACATCGTACATCACGCAAAGTATGGTTCAAAGGTCCCAAACAGACGTCATCTAAACTGACTTGTCTGCTGCCTTCTATAAGATAAATCACGCCATCGCGATGGTCAAATTGGTAGACTCGGGGTGAACGGAAATCTCTTGAGATGGTTTCACTCATAATCTCATCGCCGATCGTCAGTTGGCGGTAACCTATGATGACTGCTAGTCCGATAATTTAACTACGGCAGGAATATCTCAAGGAAGTCATCTGGGATCGTTAATGTTCTTACTTCAATAACGTGAATTTAGTTATCGAAGGTCTACGACTATCGTATGCAGACGATCTCAAAATCTACTCACGGATCTGCTCGATACATGATTGTCAATTCCTCCAACGTCAGTTTGAAGCAGCTGGTGCCATTTGAACCGAATGACGGTGAATCCTACGAAGTGTTCAGTGATCACTTTTACTCGAAAGAAAGAACCAGTTATTTTCCACTAATGCTCTCCGGGACACCATATGGAACGTAAAAGATCTAGGTGTCATCCTGGACTCTCAACTTACATATAAGCAACACATCTCGTACGTCGTAGACAAGTCGTCAAGGACATTGGGCTTTATCTTCAGAACAGCTAAGAATTTCTCCGACAAGTCATTGCATTGCTCGCTGGGTACGTTCCATTCTAGAATATTGTTCTGTGATTTGGAGTCCAAACTACAACAATGGAGAGTCGAGTCCATTCAACGCCGCTTTCTGCGATACGCTTTGAGAATGCAATAAGCCAAATGATGTCTATATTAAGCAGGTTATCTTCCATTTAATTCCACTTAACTAATTTTGGTATCCATGACAGATCCGTATTTCGACTACAATGTGCAATCTTCATCAGTGTCATTCCTACTAAAGACTTATCAAAATCTAACCCCCTTAAGTACTCATCTAGGTATGAATGTCAAGATCACAGTTATAAAAATAAAACTACAATGTGTAGAATCAGAACCTACCTAAATAAAAAAAAAACAAAGATTTAAGTAAAGTAAAGGAGAAAAATCTATACAACCCTCTAATAAGGAAAATGTCTATAGTTTTTGTCTTCAATTACTTCAATTACGATATGGAACTTTGAAAACTGTGTCCAGATTTACTTTCAACCAGGCTTTAGCTTATTTGGAATCTTCTTTACAATCTTCTTTACAATTCACCATAAAATTTCTCATGCGGCCTCCCTTAGTTCAGTCGGTACAGGCGCAGCTACAAAGCAAGACCATGCTGGAGGTGGCTTGGTTCGATTCCCGGTCTGCCTTAGGAATTTAACGGGTTGGAAAATTTCTCGACTTCTTTGCATATAGTTTGATTGTACTTGCCACACATTTATACTAATGCAAAAATGGCACAGACATCGAAAGCCACGTGAATAACAACTTCAAAACTACCCATATTTGAGTAAAATCCATACGATGGGAAGCGTATGATCGGAGACGGATAGTAATTAGCAACAACCGACATGAACATTATCTGTTACCCATTCTCAAGAAGTGATGTCTCATTTTGGACCCTTTTCTAGAGTCTTATTTTGTACTTATGGTCGGATTAGGTTCTATAAGTACCGTTCGGGAAAAAATCATCTACCTCACAGTGACTGATTTCCAGCTCTTTCCTGTTCATTCCACACCACAACAGCTGGTTTGAATAGACAGGGAATCCCAATATTGAACGAAATTTCACCTTCTCGGTTAAAAGGAACACAAGAACCCAGTGAACTTTTTATTACAATCAAGATAAGATAGCCGCTTCATTTCTTGCCTGGTGTACGTGACGCTTTGGCAACACTTGTACTAGCTTGAACAAACGAATTTGGGAGCAAATATTGTTGCTCGACTCGGAAAATATTATAAACGCTTTGTTTTCAACGTGCAAATGTGTGTGAAAATGGTAATAATTAACGCTTCCTCTCAGTCAATCGCATTTACTAGCACGTCCGGAATGCAAAGACCCCATTTCAAGGATCCTAGTTGTTGCGGAATTGAATCCAATATGATACAATGTTTACCCTTATAATACGCATACAGTCTGATTTCGGAGGGGTACAAACGCACAGCAAATATGTATAACCAGATGTGATTATCGCTATTCAAATGTAATCGACGCGACACGCAAGGCACAATAACAACAAGTCCGTCGCAGAAGGGGGCTCGTGCTCGTGCTTTGATGGAAATGGCACCAACACAAAATAAGAGCACCACCCGAGAGCTGACTGTTGCAGAATTTTGCTGAGATAATACTTCTATTTTTACAAATCTTCCACTCGTTTGCCTGAAGTAAATGAAATTAATCCATAATCCAAAATAGAGCCAACTCATTGATATGCGATGAATTGCCTCATAATGTGGCTGTTATTCCTTTCCGTTTGCTACTATTTTTTGCTACCTCTTGATTCTTGAATGGAAGTAAGCCGCGCCACGTTAGTTCAGCACCTTGAAACAAAATGAATACCATTAGAGCTAGTCCGATGGTTATTAAATTACGTAGCAAAGGAAGCAACTACCTTGAGTACTGCTGCATGTACTGGTAACCGGGACCGGAAATGGACCACTTTTGTCTTCAAGGTTACCCGCACCTACTAACACCCAGATCGCAGAACATATATACCCACATAAACACCCGGAATCCAAATTACCTTATCTCCCCCAAGGATCGCGAAGCTGTCGCCATCATCTGCTTCCTCCATCATGGTGACGACGCCCTTGCTGCCTGCCGGAATTGTCACAACACACAAAGGTCTTTTTGCCACGGCGTTTACCTTGCCCTTTCCGAGGCGATCAATTGATCGCTAACGCACTGCACTGTGTTCCGTTTTCTTCCAGAAAGGAACTACTCTACTCCATCAACAAAGAAAAGGCCCTCGAAAGGTAAACAAACCAAGAGATCCGTCTTCTCCAGCCTCCCTCACAATCAAGTTTATTTTTTTCTTCTCCTCTTTAGTCGCTCATTCGCCACCGTCTTCGTACAGTCACCTTCAAAACGCGAGGAAGGCGAGAATGCGAACGTAAGCTAAAAAAAAAACAAGCACACGATTCCTTCAATCGAATTTTCAGCTACTTCCCGTCCAAGTTCCGCCTTCAGTCAACACGCACAAGGTCACCCACGGGCTAAAGCCACTTTTTGCACTATTTTCACCAGGTTTCTCGCACGAAAATACACGAAATTTAAAGTTTTCATACGCACGACACGGCCGACATCGCCCGCCGCGAGTAATAAGTGCCCTGAACAACAGACAACAGAGGAAGGAATGATAAGAATTTTTTCCACCGTCGCGAGCGAGTCTTGTTTTCTGTTTTTTATTTTCGATCCGTGTTGAGAGTGATCTTTTGTCCGAATGAGCTCGCATGCACGCAGAAAAGTGAAAGGGAAGCCCGATCACGTAGTACGAGATGTGAGACGATATGATACAGACTGGCAGTTGAATTGTAACGGAGTGTAACGCATATGTGCTAAAATTGTCCACACACTGAGGGGTCAAAATATTGGAATTATATTTATAGCGTCCATTACACATGTCAATATATTGACAATAAATTGACATACTGACAATATTATTGAAAAGGTGATATTGATGATGATGATTGATGACAAGTATTGACGAAAAGCTGATTTTCATTTCACTTTGTCAATACTCAGAATATATTGACAAAAAAAAACAGTCAATTCTATCAATATCATCAATATACGAATATTGACAACATCAATGGCAATACGTTTGAAGCCTTTTAACCTCAATGTATTAAAGTCAATATTACTTTCTTAATTTCCCCACACAAGAAACATGGATCAGCGGGTCAAAAGAGAAACGTCCTTACTGGACCTATGCACTGAAAAAGTTTTCATATAGTTTCCATTGGGAACGCACATGATATTTTTCCAATAACAAAATTAATGATTTTTATCTGAAATTCAAATAACGTTCATACGATCACATGAATTGTATATGACAAATCACATAAACTTCATTGGACACATAAGGTTCATGTGGTTTTGTGATGCGATTCCCAATTATGAGATCACATGAAAGTTAAGTGAAATTCTAATGGATATTTTCCATTGGAAATGTGATTTATTTTTTGAGTGTGGAAAATACTAACTACACACTGTATTCGGATAACCTGAGTCGGTAAAATTTTACCCGGTTTTTGTACTACTGAAAAAGTCGGTAAAATTTCAAATTACCATCACTCGTAAGAAAACAATAAAATCGACACATTATCATTGAACGGTTTTAAATAGGTCCGTACAATTTCGTAATAAATTTCAAAATTGTTGAATTGGTTGGTACTAGAAATACTCAGAGGAAGAGATGGGCGGAGAGAATGTTTTGAGCCAAATAAACTGTCAAAATCTGAGCCAATCGAACATTCCCATTAGAATTTTTCCGAGGATTTCTTATTCTTTCTAGAATAAATTTGAAAGTATTGCAATCGAACAGAAATTCAATCCCCTTTATGTTTTGTGTGCTTCTCAAATTCAACTAGGTTTTGGAACCAAAAACAATACAAAATGATCTTCGTTGGTTAATGAACGGCACCAAGAAATGTGCAAAATATTGCGATGCAATCAATTATTATTTTGCATGTAACTCGAATCAAAAATAAAAGTAATTTGAAATGCTAGCTTCTAGCAAGGGTTGCAAGATAATTAAGGAACAAATCCTTGCTGCCGTATTGTATTTTGTTTTCTCCGCCTATCACACCCTCTGAGCATTTCTAGTTGGTACTATCCTTTCACTCCACTGAAAGTTCTAATAAGAAACTGTCAATGTTTGTTAGAAGATATGATTTCTCGACGGTTCCGTCAACGCCAATATCAAATGTTGTAATTTTTTGACAGGACACAGAAAATACACAGGACAACATGATAACAAATTAATGGAATTGAATCAAATCGATTGTCGACTGCGTGGAATTACCACTCGTGTTGAATAACCCACGTTCATGGTATGCAGTTTCCCATACATAAACTATTATGCTGATGTTTTGGTAAACATTCCTAAAGGAAAAACTTGCATATATTATTGAATTTGCGTTACATGTGAAACACAGATAGTATTAATTTTATTTTAAAGTAAAAAAAACAAAATTACATGATTATGCTTGTGATTTTGTAGAAAATGAACATCGATATAGACGAAGCCTGGGTAGTGATTGGCGACTGTAAAATGAAACTTTTTTTATTTAGTTTGATATCCATTTTATATCACACACGAAGATTTAAACAAAATGCCAACACTGCATGCGTGAAGGTGCATTGTGAGTCAGTCGGTTTAAATGACGTACGTTCTCCCTCCTCTTGGGTGGGGGAAGAATTTTGAGAAAGTGAAATGAAAATCAGTTTTCAACAATACTCGTCATCAAACCATCGTCATCAATATTATCTTTCAATAATATTGTCAGTATGTCAATTTTTTGTCTGAGTAACAAACGCTTTAGTGTATTGTCATTAATGTTGTCAATATTTATATATTGATTATATTGTAAGGAAAATTGACAATACGATGTTTGTCAATATATTGACATATGTAATGGGCGCTTATAGAGATTAGTGATGTTTAATCTCGCGTTTAATGCACGTACACTAGCGGCATGGTGGGTATGTAGATGGTGATACCAACACGGCCAATACCAACACGGCCATACCAACTCAGCGACTGAGAATAATTGACTCAGATAATTTTCTTTTCATACGAAGATTACTCAGATTTGGAAGAAACTGCAATTAGCTTATGAGTCACTATGCAGTGTCTTCCAAATCTGAGTAAATTTCGTATGGAAAGAAGATTCTCTGAGTCAATTATTCTCAGTCGCTGAGTTGGTATGATTGGCCGTGAAAAATCAATACGAAACTAACGATTTCAAATTGGCTCACTACTTGACTAGCCTATTGGTCCCAAGCAAATCGACTAACGTACTCCATTCTAGTATAAATAAGCTATTTTACGTGACGTCTTTGTCGTGAACCGGGGGTAACGGCTTCACGAATCTGCCGGGTTGCTGCTCGTCAGCTGAAATGAGGGTCGGAATTCTCTTCGGCCCTCGCTGATGCATGCGGTCAATCGCACTGGCAAGAGCGGTCCGCTGCCGTTGTTCTGCTTCTGCTGCTGCTTCCATCCTTGCTGATACTGTTGTTGTTACTGCTGCTTGCTGCGTCATCACGAAAACGTGTCACAAGAATGAGCTTAGCGATCACAGGTACCTCGTATTTATACCCCATCTAATTTCGCCTCTATTTGCTAATCACCAATCAGGGAGCTTTCTAATTTCCCCTCTTTAGGCAGAATAGGTATTCTCCGCTTTCAGATAAGGTCGCATGGAATGCAAGGTAGAAGTTCTCAAAAAGGCTTATCGTGATAATAATTCATCATTAGCATTTATTTTTCTTTTCTTCTCTTTCTTCTTTTTTTTTTTTGTTTTTGTTTGTTTACACAACCAAGCTTTAAGTTGATGTGTTATTTAAAGATATTTAATTTGTTCTTGTTTATTCTAGTATATTCTACATCTCTCTCCTCCCCTACTCTTACTCATAAACATTATAAAGCAACATGTCATCAAACTTTTTTGGTTTACTATTCTCCGCTTTCAGATAAGGTCGCATGGAATGCAAGGTAGAAATTTTCAAAAAGGCTTATCGTGATATGACAGTTCCTGGCGGGCCACTCGAACGCGCTCGAGGCATTGTTATTGTTTACGACTGTTGTTTTTGTTTTGATTTTGGTCGTGGTATGTCAAAAAACATCAAAATAGGTAAACAGAAAAAAAACAGCTGACTTGAAACGTCTCGTAAAATACCTTATTCCAGCACTACACTGTTTGTTTTGATTCGCTATGAAAGTTTTACAGATAAAATAAGGGGTTAATGGATTTTCCTATGTTTCGAGGGGTGAATCGATTAGCTTGGGACCGAAGATAGTACCAGAATAAAAATAACCATAAAATTAACGACGTGTTCGGGGTATCATCCAAACCATTTGTGGGATAGTTTACCCATCCGGGATACAGTTGGTTTATGGTATTTGTTTATCATGGGAGCTGATCTAGAGTTAGCTCTATGGTGATACCACAGACAAACAGACATAACACTCACAATCACATTCATCGCAAATAATGTTTTAGTTGGGAATGTGCTTGCATTTGTCATGGTGGCGCCACTGAAGCATTGAGCAAGCCACCACATTTCTAACTTGTCAGGGATGCCAGTTCTTTTTCACGTCTAGTTAGTAGATGTCAGCTCTTGAAAATGATAAGTGGTCAAGGCATCCGCCTGGAGACACATACCACATCTGACGAATACAAAAAAAAAGTTGTTGAATATTACATCAAAACTGCTGCACATTAGTCATTCAGTTTCTACACAGTTTGTACACAGAATTCGAGAACAAATCATGTTGATGACTGTAATATTCTATCAACTTTTACCAGTTATTGATGTTTAATACTTCACCATGAATATCATTGATTATGTATCATGTTACATTGATACATCTACATTTAGAAAAGGCACTAATAAGGCATGCATAACCTTGTTTAAAAACTTGTTTCCAGCAAAAGAAAAAGCACAATTAACAAACAAAACAAATTCCTTAAAAAAAAAGTCTTAGCTTCTGTGAATTTTTACCTACGGATCCTAGTACGGATCCGTATTTCTGCAGAATTCAATCAATTCTATAGATCTACGAAAAATTTCGTAGAACCGACATCACTGACTTCCATCTGTTTTGTTTTTATGCAACACAGCTGACGCGTTGACAGAACAAGGGAAAAGCAACTAGTGAAAAACTTGCATGAACGAGGGATACTCCGGTTGCAAAACAATGCTTGGGAATGTGGATGATAGATGGTGCTAGTGCGCATGCAAAATACGCTTGACGATATTTTTTGAAGAATTTTCATCTAAGTGTTATGTCTGTTTGTCTGTGGTGATACCATCCCTAATAAAAATACCATAAACGAATGATAACCCAAATGATTGAACTATTCCACAAATTGTTTGGATGATACCCAGAGCACGTCGTTAAGCAAAATAACCATAACAATTTGATTAGGGATAGAGACCAGAAGGTCCCGAAGAAACATGCTTTATTATAGACACTATATTAAATGTTGAAATCTACACAAAAAAATAATCATTCCTAAAATTAAAAAATCCGTTGGTAGAATTAAAAGTTTGCGTTGGTTCTTTTTGGTAGAAATCGGTAAGCTTTCAATACGAAAATCAGCCAACCGTCAAATCAAAAGTAGCCTGCTCACTGCTTTTAAAAGTTGAAACTATCAAAATTAATTGTACTACTGTCAAATGAAAAGTTTGGCAGTGTTGGAAATAAAAACAGCTTCGTGTTATTTCAAAACAAACTTTTGGATTGAACATGAGATATTATTAAAACAATAAGTGCTATTTTGAATAGAAGAACACAATATTTTCAAATTGATAACGAAGATTTTTAACAAAATTACTTAATATTTTTAAGATATAATTAATTTTTAACAAAATTACTTTATATTCTAAACAATCTTTTGATTGTTTAGAGTATAATATGCTCAAATATTATTTATTTATTTATTTATTTTTATTCTGGTTTACAATATTAATTTAACGTTATGCAACGAAAGATATAAAAAGTACTCCTGCTGCTAGGAGGTCAACTTTTACATTGAAGGCAAAGGTTGCGTAGCGCTTCCGTAGGGCTTGAAGAAAAGATGCTGAATGGGAAGAATCACTCGAGTTGCTACTTCTGAGCTGGATGTCATATTCACAGCAGCCAGACTCGGAAAATTCGGCAAATGAGATTTCAGTGCAGCCAGTAAAAACATCGATGAAGGGGTATTTTTGACAGTTGTACAACTTTTGTTTTAAAACTATGCACTTTTAAAATCACGGGTCAAAAGTGAAAGAAAAACTTTCCATTTTAAAAACTGACTTTTATTTCGAATATTTTCATTGTTGAAACAAGGAATTCAGGGACACTTTCAAGTAAAAATGCATTATTTTTATTGATACAATTTTTGTTGTTTGTGTGTATGACATACACAATATTAAAAATTAATCAAAACTCACGCGCATTCTTCGTCATTGCAAATCAATTTTTGAACGAATTTCAATTTTGTCCTACCGGTCCTACACAGCAAAAAAAAATGTAATATCGATCAACGTAATTCAAGCTGATGTATGAAATAATGATGTAATAGCAAAAAGCAGCTACAATATTACATCAATGGATGTAATTTTGTTCGCAAAATCGATGTACATCGTGCAATGTGATATTACACAACCGATGGATTGACCTGGTTGCAGCAGTTTCGATGTAATATTCAACAACTTTTTTTGCTGTTTACCTCAACCTGTACAATAAGTGACTCTTAAGCAATAAAATCTTTTATTAATCTTTCATATCTCACTCAATGCGGTAACTCATAAATATTATTCATAATGCGGATATTTCGTTCTACTCCTCGTCAAAAGATTCCTCAATGACGTCGATCAAAATATCAACTAAAACGTTCAATATAGTTACGAATAGATCACTCCAAAATTCACGCTTGATTCGTCGGGTTTTAGATTTCAAACTTGCCAAATATTGACTAATACGCACTGCCAGTTGCTCGTTGTTTCTGATTACCTGCCCAGTAGCGTGAAATTCTTCCAAAACCTTCGCAATATCCCCACGCAAGTCATCCGGAATGTACTGCAGGGACCAATCAAGCATATGCCGACGAATGCGTTTCTCCAAACCTTCAGACAAGGTTCCACCATCGGCTCCATCTCCCAATTCACTGGCAACATCTTGGCGTAGGGATTCCGGCAAAGAAGCAACGATCGACTTTCCAATGACCTCTAAAGTTTCTCCCTGTAACGGTTCCTTTGCCGCGTCGTAAATAAATGCTACAAATTCAGTTGTTTGTCGACGGACTGCTTTGTCCACAGCGGTGTTTAAGTCCACAAAGGCTTCTGATCGTTCTGGTTCCGGGTAAGCGATTACAGCAGCCACAACTACCACCGTCATGAAGGCAATAACTGATTCATACTGCTTCATCGCTACTTAGACTTTGCTCGTGCACTCGTCAGCGATTGAAGGTAGTTGGAAAGGTTTATACTCGGGTTTATATAGTACTGTATCAGTTACAGTCAAATTGACAGACGATAACGACTGTACCTAACCTCCCCTTTTGAACTTTATGGATATTCCTTTCATTTTCCATCAGAATGAAAGAGATATCTATAATGCAACAAATGATTTACTATTGATGAAGAAAGTTTAAAATTCTACCCAAAATTCAAGCAGTACCTGTGTTGAATTGTACCTACAAAATTTGGTCCTCTCCCCTGCCCTCTCCTCACATTCTTCTTCAAGTCTTGTTTATCAGTAAGTCTGTAAGGCATGCTCCACAAGTAACCATCAAGCTAGGTGCACCGTTGCACTTTTCCAGCAGTTCCAGCATTATACCAAACTGAAATTTACGAGTCCGAGTAACAACATCCGACGTCAACATTACTACACTAAGAAAATTCAAAGATTTTTTATGTGTCCCACAAATGATTTTTTTGCGAGGGGAGCGCCACATCTAAATCTCAGTCTAGATGATCAACAAATCTCACACTAGCGAATCAATCTTCGAAAAATCTTCTTTCATTTCTCGCATCTACTTGCATTGCGCATCATCTTTTGCAGGAAATCTTATTATTATTATTATTTAGCTTTATTAAGGAGGCTTTCAGCCTTGGGCTGGTTCGCCTCCAAAAAGCAGGAAATCTTCAGAATCGTCATCAATCTTCTTTCTATCTACTCAGCGTGCGCGCAGCTAGACACAGCAAACCCCAATCTTTTCTGCATCGTAGATAGAGTCGTCCCCCTCTATTATTTGCAATGTGATCAAAACTATATCCACACTTAAATTTTTTCGCCGAGATTCCAACAGCCGAGTAGTTCTGCAATTTATTTTGCTGAGATTCAGTAAAATAATTACCGAGACTCAGCTAACAAATATCATTTTGCTGAGATATCAGCTAACAAACAGATATTTTGCAGATATATCAGCAAAAGTAAATGCCGAGGTAATCGGCTGTTGGGGATTTTACCGAGCTAGATTAAGTGTGTCCATGTGTCGGACACATACTTAATATGTGTATATACATAAAAGCCATGTGTGACCACGAATACTATTCATTTGAGACATAAATTTCATGTTGGCATCTAAGTGGATTCTGTTTATGTGTGGCCACATGAAAATCAAGCGGAATTTCACATGGATATTCTTCAATAAAAATGAGTGGAATTTTTTTAGAGTACTGGCATCAATTCAAGTATTGCCAAGCGTTTCCTTTTTTTTTTTTTTTTTTTTACTATTATAGTCACTTTAACACTCTTGGGTCATTCGTGACTTGTCCGGGGGTGAGATTTGAACTCGTGACTTTGGCGTGAGAGGTATGGATGTTAACCACTACGCCGGGGTCGCCCCCCGCCAAGCGTTTCCAGTCAATTGCAAAATTCATGCGCATATCATGGATTTAATTTAAAATTGTATTTTTTTCATTCGAAACCACACATTAAAAATCCGGAAGATCATAACCGCTGAAACAATTTTATAAATCTTAATTTTTCTCTTCAAAAATATATGGAAGCACCAGCCGGATCACTGCATACCCGATACAGAAAACAAAATATTCCACGTGGATGATGATTTCAAGCACCTGCGGTGGATAAATTAATCAGGAAAGGTGAAAATATTTTCCTCTTCCTATGCTTCACGGTGAAAATTTCCACCCTCATCACTCTTTTGAGGGTTACTCTATTCACCACCAGAAGCTGAAACAATCGCTTAGTTTCTATGTTGGATTCGGTTATTTGGCGTATTTGCTCATATTTCTATGCGCTGCTTCCACCTGCGCTACTGTATCTGGTCGCATGGATTCTGATAAAGTTACCAGCCTTCTTAATATGATGTCTTTGCTTTTACCCATAACGCATGATTATTAGTACCTACATCAACGTTTCAAAAGGGAGAAACTGCTGTTGTAAACATTTTCTTTTGCCGTTGATTTCTCACATAAATTTAAGCTTGCCCTTGCAACTACACCATCAGGGAGGTGAACATTTCCTCTGCCAGCTGGTTTGGATAGTTTGCTAGATTTTGCTTTTATTTGCGAGAAATCGGTGATTGAAGCCATTGTTTACAAAAGCAGTTTCGTCCTAATGAAATGTTGGCATCGAAGGCGCATTTTGTGCATTGAATAGATCGTAACGTATGTAACGCGTATTGATGCACCGTTTCGAAATATATTCGTATACGATGCAGTTTTACATAACAAGTCGGCCAGCCAAAGCTGTTGTAAACAACAACACATGCTCTGAACGCTGTGAAATCAAACGAATATTATTTTACCAAATTAGATGCATTTATTTTGCATTTTTAAGGTCGAAACATTACAATGAATCCGATTCGCGTAAGAGCACCGGTAAGTTATTCACCCAACAACTGAACATTGGCAAGACAAATAAAAACGACGTCCGCATTCCAGAACAAGTTTCGATCGCTGGTGAAAGTGACCTCGCTGGGAGCGATAACATTCAGTGCCATATGCCTCTACAAGGGAAATGAAAAGTTCTACGAAAGTGTATTCATGCCCTTTGTACGGCTGATCCCACCGGAAACGGCTCACCAGCTGGCGGTGTTCGGTGTCAAGATGGACCTTGTGCGGCCGAATTACCAAGATCCGGAAACGCTTCGTACCCGACTGCTTGGCATGACGGTTAGTAATCCGGTGGGCATTGCTGCCGGATTCGACAAACATGGGGAAGCAGTCAATGGACTGCACAGTATAGGTTTTGGGTTTGTGGAAATCGGTTCGGTCACGCCGAACCCGCAACCGGGCAATTCCAGGCCACGCGTATTTCGACTGAACGAGGATAAGGCTATTGTTAATAGGTTGTGTTGACTGGAGTGCAACTGAATTTATGTGAATATTAATTGGAATTATTTTTATTTTAGATACGGATTCAACAGCGAAGGTCATGACGTTGTATTCGAGCGACTGAAGAAAACTCGTGAAGAGAGTAAGAACCGAGTAACACTGGGAATAAATCTCGGAAGGAACAAGCACTCGCCAGATGCTTATAATGATTACATACAAGGAATTAAGAAATTTAGCAGCCTAGCAGACTACCTGGTTATTAACATCAGTAGTCCTAACACTCCTGGTTTGAGATCCATGCAGAACAAAACAACCCTACAGGTTTTGTTAACCGAGGTTCGAAAAGCACGAAGCTCTCTTCCTTCTGAAGAGCAACGTCCAATCCTGGTAAAGATTGCTCCCGATTTAGCTGACGAGGATGTTCTGGAAATAGTCACCGTTGTGACGCAGAAGGAATTTGCCGTCGATGGAGTGATAGTATCGAATACGACGATCGATCGACCTTCCACGCTGAAGAGCATCAATGCAGGCCAATTGGGAGGTCTTAGTGGCGCACCGCTAAACCAAAGAACCACACAGCTGATAGCGAAGGTCTACAAGTGGAGCGAAGGGAAAATTCCGATTATTGGCGTTGGAGGGATCTTCAGCGGACAGGATGCTTATGAGAAGATCTTGGCCGGTGCCAGTGCCGTTCAATTGTACACGTCGTTCATATTCCATGGGCCACCGGTTGTGAAGCGGATCAAGCAAGAATTGAATCAACTGCTGAAGGAGAACGGTTTCAAGAGCGTCGAAGAAGCCGTTGGAAAGGGGAATGATAGATTTTTGTAGTACCAATCGGGGTGGAATACCTAGTTTAATCGTGGCTATGCCTATTCTAAGCAGACAATATTTTCTCGAGATGATTATGTAATAAATTGGCAATTGTATACCTCATTACTAGCGGTGTTGATATTATTCTTACACGGCGAATGAGAACGACCCAAATTTTAGTTTAGCTTACTCGTAAATCACACAAAGTCCAGGTGTACTGTCGCATTAATGGCCCTTCGCTCATTTTCAACTTCTATTCAATTTTCATACTGCCGTACTCTAACGGAACTATCCACCTACCCTATTCTAAGATCATTCTCTAGCTAATAAATTATCACACTAAAGCTTCATGTTAGATAGCATTTCCAATCAACTCTCAAAGAACAAATTCCCGAATATAAGAAAAGTAAAGATTGTACTCCTAGACTGAGTAAAATTTTCATCAAATTTCCTTATTTCTCATCACTAATATAAATATTTTAAATTCAAACCATAAATAAAAAAATAATAATTTTAATTCATTGCTGTCAGTAATTGAAACAACCACAGCTTCATTAGAATTTACTTTTTAGCTGCAATACCAATCGTACACTGAAACAAGCACCATAGTTAGGAATACTATTTTACAGAAAACACTTATTTTCAGCATTTCCACGCTTATTATCGTTAAATCTACTATGAATTTAGTATAGTTGACTATCAATGTTAACAAATTTACTATTATTCTGGCAAAACTACTGTGCTTGCTCAAAATGCATAGTAATTTTAATAGAAATAATACTAAAATAAATTAAATTGTTTTCTGCAAAAATCTATTGGTGAGGGCTAGGGGCATCCCACTCTAAACTTTAGTTCCAATATTTATTAAATATTTTTTAATATCTCATAAGTATCGCTAAGTATTTTTAAATATTTTAATTCTAGGTTTTATTTTCATCGTAGTAGCATTTGTTTTATGACCGGTTGCTAGTGCTGTGTTTACTGTTTTTTGCTCCATCAGTTCGATAATTTTAGTCGCGCGATCTGATCATTTTTAGAGTATAAAATGAGTTTATTTGAAATGAAGTGTACATTCATTGTAATGGGTAAGTATTTCAAATCTGCCTACGAAAGCATATAACAAAATGTATGTTTTTCAGTGATCTAAAATGTGAAAATGAAGTACACCATGTCTTGTTGATCGGTTTTCTCCAACATCAGGATCCTAGAAGACGATTGTGGAACCAAAGAGCTTTAAATGTGTACAGTCCCCTACAATTTAAGAACATTTAATTACTGTACAGTCAGTCTAGTGCGTTCATCATATGGAAGTGTTCCATATATGTGGAAGAATGTATGTTGTTGTTGACTGTGGGGCTTATTACGGATGTCATTTCACGGTGAAAACTTGTCACTTGTCATCACGGTGAAGTGATTTCCATTTGATTTGTACGGCAATCACGGCTCTTATTCTGAGTATCACTTCCTTATAACCGTGTAGTGACACCCGTAATAAGGCCCTGTATGTATTATGACATAAAATCTGAACACCATGAAACTGTTTATTCTCAAGACTAAGAAAAATTTAACAGACTAATCATACTTTACCGAACCACCGAATAAATAAATAACAATAATTTTAAAATTACTATATGGTTTTTTTAAACGATAAAATGAAATATGGAAAATGCCCAACTAACAATTTTAGCTGCAGATTAGCTTATACAGCCAAAAATTTGCTTATACAGCTAATTTTTGCCTGTATAAGCTAGTCTGCAGCTAAAATTGTTTGTTGGGTGGAGCATTTTTGTAAAGTAATCGTTCAGCTCATTAACCCATTTAATTAGCATGCCCCCAATATCGCCACATTTTTTTTATAATCTGTGACGTAAAATCCACTAGAAGCTAGTTCAAGCCTCTAAGGAAGCATCCATTAAGTACGTCACGCTCTTAGAAGGAGGGAGATTTACAAATATGTCACAAGCAATGTATTAGGTATTGGAACAACGTGACGAATGGGAAGGGGGAGTACATTTTCTCTAATTTTTGCGAGGAGTACTTAATGCATGCTTTCCAACTCAATGGTTCCAACTCTATTGGTTTCTGTAAGGTGAAATAATAGATTTTCTTCAAACTAAACCTGTAGGACCATAATATTCACATGGTAATGTTCAAAGTAAGCGTCTGTAAGAAAAAATATCAGGTGAATTGAATGTTGTGACAGTCTATTTTAATAATCGTTCTAAATTTTGTTCTGAACCTATTTTTGATTTGAACTTGTCCAACTTGGCGACGTTTATGAGCTTCAAGTAGAAGGGCATCGTATTGGGGGAAATCCATGGGAATGTTGTTCATTTCTGCTGCATAACGCTACGGAACCTATGAGACTCGGCTCTCCGGATGCCACAAGTTCCAATTCAGCTCCCATCAGCTTAAATGTCCGTAGTCATTTTCACATGTTCAAGATCCTAGTGGATTAAAACCTCGGTGAAAACCTCCGTCAAAACTATACTTATAACACGATAGTCATTTTCCCGATCTGTATTTTGAACGATACATTTAAACGAGCAATAGCCGAAATATTCCAATAGCTTCCTCTTGAGACTGGATTTCTATTAATATTGAAACTCACTATTTTTTGACACCGGGAGCTTCTGCGCCGTTCCTGAAGGGGACGTGTCTACATCCCTGACTGCTGGTCTAAGCCAGCCGGCAGTTGTTGGGGTGGGCACCAAAGACCTCTTTTGCTCCCGGGTCTCCGGGCGTTGGCGAATTAGGGAGAGTTTTCGGAACTATGAGAAGCTTGACAGAAAGGGTTAATGTAGGCTTTAATTTAATGGTTTTATTGATCCGATGGTGGGCGGGAGGTGAAACACTTACGCTGCTGCAATAGAGAAACCGACCGCTGTCGATGTCAAGCTACCGATCCTAGTGGCTATCGGCGGCTGTAGTGTGGACTGATCCCAGATCTTGGGAGACCACAGACGTTAGCTGTCCCAGAGGTTGAAATCTCGATCTCCGAAAGGCACAGTATCACCGCTCTTCACACACTACCTTGCAAAAATGCACTCTAACAACGTGCCTCACGTCTCTGAATCCTACCCAAATTTCACCAGATCCACTCTGTCCACTGACCTTCTCGCCCCTTCATCGTAGCTTATCCACCACCTAGCAACTCCCTTTCGTTATGCGTTTTGCTCTATCCGCTGTTTCATCGTGGCCCTATACATTATGGGAGTCCAATCGTCACCCATCACTAAACGTATAGATGACTGGCTATCGCGTACAAATTGACCGTTAACTTGCTGAGCAAACTGAACACTGTTTCTTTTCCTATCGTCTTAAAATTATACGCAACTGATACCGTTCGGTAACAATATAATAAATGTTAAATGTACACAAAATCAGATAAGATTTGAATCCAGACGTCCGATAAACAAACAAATTAAATTTGTCTATAAACTATGGCAACCGAGCAAACAAACCATCGCTATTTTTTAAGTATTTCTTAAGTATTTATAAATATCCCCAGGTATCTATAGGTATATTGATAGAAATACAAAGTTTAGAGTGAGATGCCCCTAGGGTGAGGGTATTTAATTTAAACCAGCAATACAGTATTTTTTTTTCCAATGGATTTTGTTTCAGTGTACGGGAACTGCATCTTGACGTAACGTCTGTAACGCACATTGCTGACAGCTCCATCCACACCGTTGGCTTTCAAAACCCGTCGACCCCTAGCTTATGCGTTGACTGTCAAAAAATTAGCAACTCGCGAAAAATACGTCGAAAATCCCGTGTCTGGTGATTTTGTTTTCCTTAAAAATCAGCCCAAAATCAAAGTTTTGCATCCGTAATTGTGCTCGCAGCATGCACTAACGTCCGACATTTGCGACCAACGTGAAATTGCAACCGGCAGCGATGTCCCTCTTCCGAAAACCGAAGAAACCGATCCAGCGACGCGTTTTTACCAGCTACGACGACGATGACGACGGTGCCACCAATAATGGTGTCTCTTCCAGCACTAGTGCTTCCTCACAGCAGCAGCAGCAGCAGGACAATCGAATGGAAGTGAACCCATCACCGCCGCTACCGCCTTCGATCGGCGACGGTAGCAAACGGTCCTCTTCCTCGTCGTCCTCCAAGAAGGACAAAAAGGACAAGAAAAGTGGCGTCGGTTCAATGCCCCCCTCGTCAGCGCCCGGTGCGACGTCCAAGGCCACCTCCAAAATGTCTTTGTTAAGTTTCGACGATGAAGGTAACAATTTTCGAGTATCCTGTCTTTGAGGGATTCACACATTCCTACCAACTATGAAATTTAATATATTTATTATCTTATAAGGCTAATGCTTTGGTTTCAGAGATGTACCTATGTCGTGTCTAGAAATTGATTGATGAATTTGATGAAGCTGTGGTTTCCATTTACTCTTTAGCAGGTTTCAGAAAATGCTGCCAACTTTTTTTTTACTGAGTAATCGCAAATTTATTTATACGTATATCGAACAGCTCAACGGAATCCCCTCTATGAAGAGCTTTTGGAGTGGGATATGTTATTTCCTTTCAATTATGTTATAATTGCGAGTATTGTGTCTACTGCTTGTAGATTCGTCAGTGGCACTGAAGAAGTCTATAAGTTATTAGTGGACTAAATACGCGTATCAGTCAACATTTAATTGCTTACGCAAACGAAAGGAACCTACTAAACCTATTCCAACAGCTATTCGTGAATAATCGCAGTTTTTGAGCCAGATTCGGATGGTCATATCAAAATTATAAGAACAGGGCTCGAAATTGGTGCATATGGCCGTGAAACCAAACTCGCTTGTTCTGAGTTGTATCACTCTTTATCAAGTAAAACTTTCATCACAGCAAATTAGAACGGTCAGACTTTGCCTATCCTGTTCCTACGTCCCGCGTTGTGACTTGAAGGTCAGACTCAGGGTTGTTTTATTCGGGGTTGCATTTACAACTTCGTTTCAGTCTCCGCACTACAACCCTCTCGATCTCGATCGTCGTAACCGTCTTCTAGATCACCTTAATCATCGTAAAATTTTCATTCTTTTTCTCGTTTCAAAAACAACTTCTCATCCACTCGGCAAACGGCCACCCATGAACTCAACCCACAGAGGAAGGTGAAGTGTTCCAGGTGAAAAAGACCTCCCAGAGCAAAAAGGTCATGAAGTCCATGGACAAGGAACGCCGCCGCAAACGGCACGCCGAAAAGAATGGCTCCTCCACCAACGAAGGCTCCAACTACGGCTGTGATTCGTCAACAATTTCTGTCATTCAATCCGGAAGCACCGCGAAAGAGCGCCAGGATGAGCCGGAAAAAGATAAACTAAAAAGGGAAAAGTGTGAAAATACTAGTTCTAATATCCAAACAGAAATACGCACAGACGACTTTGTGGTAAGGTTATTATTATTCAATTTTCTACCAATTCCACCCTCCAAAATTGTATAACAAAGACACACAAAAAAAAAACATAGTTTAATTGTCACCACAACAAGACCTCTGATTCTGATCGATTTATGTCTTGAGATTGTATAACGTATTGCTTTGATCTTGGTTGAAGGCTTAAGATAAAAAAAAATGCATTCAACGCTAGTGCTTATCTGCACCCAGATGTCGCTGGTTCTAGTTGAATTCTAACGAATTTGATGCGGGATCGAACACCTTGTTTCCTGCCATTTAAAAATACGCGATGAATTTCCAATTTCCAACAAATGATAGAAGGAAATGAGCAGTCCGTTCCCGTAGGGAATAAAAGAGCCATCGTTCTTCTAAGCGTTGGCCTGATCAATTGATTACTTTCTCCCGCGCGGCTCCGTGCAAAAACCATGTCACTCCGTTCGATTCTAATCTCGGTTCGTCTTGTGCTCTTTTCCCACGTCCCTTGTTCTTCCTCGAACGAACAAACCGAATTTTAGCTTGTGGTTAAAAAATCCGATTCGAATCAGCAGCAGATTCTGAATGGCCGGGCGGCTCTGTGTGCCGGCCGGGACGACATGTCCTCGGAGGAAGAAGAGGAAGACGAAAGCGCCAGCGAGGGCCATCATCATCGGTTCGCGAAGCCGGACAATTTCAAGATGTGTCTGGAAAATGGGGTCATTCCGGATGCGGCCATGATTCATGCCGCCCGGAAGCGACGGCAGAAGGCCCGAGAGCAAGGTAATGGGGGGATGGGGGATGATTTTCCGGAATGCTAAATACTAAAATTTTGTTCGTTTAGGTGACTTTATTCCGTTGGACGAGGTGAAGGAGGACAAAAGCAAGAAGCGGATCGTCCGAGAGGATGGCGCTGGTGATGGTTCGGACGAAGATGATGATCGAATCGATATGGCGGCTATTACCGGTGCTAAGGAACGGGAAGAACGGAGGGAGCAGTTTTACTCCGTACAGCGGGAAGGTATGTGTCAAGGCGGAAATGAATGTGACTTCCCTGGTGATTTGTTGATTAGCTCAGAGAACTAACTAAATGAGAATTTAGGATTATGGTCTTGCTTGGGAGGTTTTTTTTTGTTTGATTCATGGAGTAGCACTTTTATGATTGAATAATTATTCAAATAGGTATACGTAAATCCTTTAAATTTGTCGAACCTCTTAACGGAATCCCTTTATAAAGAGCTTTGAGTGTGTTGGTTTATTTCCTTTAAATTCCGTTATAATTGCTTATCTGTTGACAGATACGCGTATTTTGTCTACTACTTGCAGACTTCATCGGTGCCAAGTGGTGTTGAGTTTTAGACAAGCGTAGACAAGCATTGCCTTGGACAGCATACTTACTTACCAATCAGGCTAAGGCCTTGTAGTCCTCTGCTGTCCGAAGAAGTCGTCTCCCTCTACTCGATCCATGGCCACACTTCGCCAGCCTCGTAGTCTGCTAAGGGTCCGCATGTCGTCTTCTACTTGGTCGATCCACCTTGCCCGCTGCGCGCCTCTTCTTGTTCCTGTTGGATCGCTTTCTAGAACCATTTTCACTGGGTCGTCGTGCGGCATTCTTACGACGTGCCCAGCCCACCGTAGTCGCCCATTTTTTGCAATGTGGACGATGGATGGTTCTCCCAGCAGCTGGGAGCTGCAATTCGTGGTTCATTAGCCTCCTCCACGTTCCGTCATCCATCTGCACTCCACCGTAAATGGTACGCAACACCTTCCGTTCGAAAACACCAAGGGCGCGTTGGTCCTCCACGAGCATAGTCCAAGTCTCGTGGCCGTAGAGGACCACCGGTCTAATCAGCGTCTTGTAGACAGTCAACTTCGTGCGGCGGTGAATTTTATTCGTCCTCCGGAGTCCAAAGTAGGCACGATTCCCTGCCAGAATGCGTCTTTGATATCGTCTGCTGGTATCATTTTCGGCGGTCACCAGTGAGCCCAAATACACGAACTCATCGACCACCTCGATTTCGTCACCGTGTACCTCTTCCTTTCATGTATTTTGTCTTTGATGCGTTGATGGCAAGTCCAATCCGCCTAGCTTCAGCCTTCAGTCTGATGTACGTTTCCGCCACCGTCTCAAAGTTCCGTGCCATGATGTCAATGTCATCGGTGAAGTCAAGAAGCTGGATGGACTTCCTGAAGATCGTGCCTAACGCGATGTTAAATAGTAGACACGAAAGTCCATTACCTTGCCGTAACCCCCTTCGAGATTCAAAGGGGCTCAAGAGTGTCCCCGATATTCGAACAACGCACATCACTCGATCCATCGTCACCTTGACCAATCGCGTCAGTTTATCCGGAAATTCGTACTCGTGCATAATCTGCCATAGCTGATCTCGATCGATTGTGTCGTATGCCGATTTGCAATCGACGAACAAATGATGTCCGTGGTAGCGCGGGCACCCATGAATCCTGTTTGGTATTGCCCCACGAACTCTATTGCAAATGGTGACAGGCGGCGGCATAGAATTTGGGAGAGTACCTTGTAGGCGGCGCTCGGCAGTGTGATCGCGCGGTAGTTGCAGCAATCCAACTTGTCACCCTTTTTGTAGATTGGGCATACGACACCTTCCATCCACTCCTCCGGTAATATCTCCTCCTCCCAAATCTTGGCAATTACCCAGTGCTTCACCACCGTATTTTAATAGCTCACTTGGTAGTTGATCTACACCAGTTGCTTTGTTGTTCTTCAGCCGACCGATGTCCTCCTCAACTTCTTGAAGATCAGAGGCCGGTAGCATGTCGTCTTCTACGCGTGCTCCAAGGTCTGTTGCCGTGCCACCTTCGGTTTTCTGCTGCTTCACCGTTGAGGTGCTCGTCATAGTACTGCTTCCACCTCTCAATCACCTCACATTCGTTCGTGAGCAGGTTACCGTCCAAGTGCTTGCACATATCGGCTTGCGGCACGTAGCCTTTGCGTGAACTATTTAGCTTCTCGTAGAACTTCCGTGTGTCGTTTACGCGGTACAGATTTTGCATCGCCTCGCGATCTCGGACTTCCTGCTGACGCTTATTCCTTCGGAAAACCCAGTTTTGTCAGTTCCGCGCTTGTCTGTATCGCTCCACATCGGACAGCATAGAGTGGCTTTATTGAGTATTCTAGGACTTCATTGGAGACCTGGTTAGCTCGTAAAATTAGTTTCTCAGTGAAGTTTTAGTATTGCAATATTGCTGCTGTTGCAATTTAGATGGAATACTGGGAATTTGATGTCACCGGGATGAGATGACAAATCTGGATAAATATACCTCGTCCCCTCTTCGAAAACAATAAGATTTCAAGACCCTTGGACTGGACTAGATTTTCAGGATACAGTCAACCGGTGGAAACTAACGATTTTAAATTGGTTCACTACTTGACTAGCCTATTGGTCCCAAGCAAATCGATTAACGTACCCCATTCTATTCGAAATTCTAGTACTACACTATGTTTGTTTTGATTCGCTATGAAAGTCTGACAGATAAAATGAGGGGCTCGTGGATTTTCATATGTTAAGAGGGGTGCATCGATTAGCTTGGGACCGAAGATAGTACCAGAGCTGAGTCAAAAAGTTGATCTCGTTTCTTTGGGACCTTCTGGTCCTAGAGTTACCTCTATGATTGTACCAGAGCTGAGCCAAAAAGTTGAGCACGTTTCTTCGGAACCTTATGGTCTTAAGGGCCACCCACATTAGATCCGTTTGCGTTGCGTTGACGTAAATTTGACAGTTAGACAATAGATTTAGCTGTCACTTTGCCGCAACGCGTCCGATCCGGATTTAATGTGCGTGGGCCTTTAGAGTTACAGTACTGGACAAAATAAATCATACACCAATATAATTTTTTTTTGGAGCTCGATATATCAGGTAGATTCAAACATACAATAATGGTTTGTTCTGCAATACTTATGTATGTTTTTCACTAAAACTGTGCAGGTATAGAATATTCAATATATTGTATGACTTTCTCAATCATCATATATAAGTTGTAAAAGGAGAATTTCGAGTTGGACAAAATAATCATACGCCTGATTTCTTATTGATTTCTTATTCTTATATCGATATTCTCCCACGCTGCTTCGAGTGCTTCAAAATAAACGTTTTTGTTGGAAACCGATGCTTTATCCACTTTGTTGTCCAAGTAAGACCACAAATTCTCAATTGGGTTTAGACCGGGAGATTGGGGAGGCCATTCCAGCGTTTTGATCCGATTTGATTTGAAAAATGTCGTTGTTTTCTTCGCTGTGTGCTTTGAGTCATTATCTTGTTGGAAAATGTAATTGGATTTCAGGCCAGTTTTCAGTAGCGAAACTTCCAGATTTTCACTTAACAAGTCAATCCCCCCTATTCTGCGAGTCACGTGACTCTCTCTCACCGGTGAAGTGACAATAGTCACCTCGTGTGAGGTGACTCTCCATTTGATTTACATGGAGAGTCACCTCACACGAGGTGACAGAAAGTCACGTGACTCGTAGAATAAGGGGGAATGTACACATCTGCAGTCATTATTCCCTTTATATGAGCCAAGCTTCCAACACCAGACCACGCAAATGCTCCCCATACCATGATATTTCCGCCTCCGTGTTTAACTGTCTTTTGAATGTATGGTTCCTTAAGAGCGTCACCGGAACCTCGCCAAACCCTTGATCGCCTTTTCTGTCCAAATAACTCAAATTTGCTCTCATCCGTCCACAGAACCCGTTTCCAGAAGTCCACAGTCATTCCGGCGTACTTTTTAGCAAATTCCAGTCGCTTCCGTTGGTTCCGCTTGTTGATAAAAGGACGCTTCGATGCCAAACAGCTTTTCAAACCGCTCTCATTAAGTCGCCGGCGAACAGTACGTCGACTTACATTGAGATCCATCGATTCCACAATATGCCTCGACGAATACTTCGGATTCTGCTTAGCCATTCGAACAATTCTGATGTCATCACGATTACTTGTCGCACGATGACGTCCTTGTCCGGATAAATTCCTCACAATTCCTCGTGTTTCGTACTTTTTCCATATGTGCTGAACAGCTTCATCAGAGATCGAGTACTTTTCGGCAGTTTTCCGAAAAGAAATTTCTTTTTCACGATCGCGAATCACCAAATTTCTAACATCAAGCGAAATCTGCTTTCCCGAAATTTTTCACTTTTCAAATTACGCAAACAAAACACAATGGTGCGATGCGCACGGTTCCCGGAACAAGAACTGTCAAATATTACGCCGTGATGCCAAATCTTCAGATTTTGTTTTTATTCGATGGCTAAAAAATAAAATCTTATGGGTGTATGATTTATTTTGTCCAAGCACAAAAGTGAGCATATATTTATTTAATTTTGTAACCAAAATAGTAGAATATAATAACAATTTTCATTCGGCTAATTGAATGCACCATGAGAAATACCTGAACTTTTCTGAATATACTGCTGAAATTGCGTGCAAAATAGCAAAAATATGATGTAATCTAGATAGAGCTGGAATTAGGGCGTAACAGCTTTTGTAAACAATGACTTCTCTCGATGATTCCTAGAAAGTCAAGGCTCACCTAGGCAAATCAACACCACCATTGGATAGGGGAAAGCTTCCCCTATCTGATGGTCATGTTGGTTTGCGTGGGAGTGCCTTGAATTCCTAGAAATCATCGAGAGAAGTCATTGTTTACAAAAGCTGTTACACCCTAATTCCAGCTCTATCTAGTAATGTACTTTTTTGGGTTGAGCGTATGATTTATTTTGTCCAGTACTGTACCTCTATGATACAGTCAGGATCACTCACACTTGAAGGACTATTAAGAGAATTTTAGATTTTTTTAGAACAACTTTGAGCAGATTTTAGAATGAATTCTAGGTATTTCAGAGAATATTTTTTACTAGAACTCCCAAGAGAGAAGAAGATTCCAGGATTCGTGAAAAATACCAAGGGAAGCGTTGTGTATCACAACGTTAAGGGTACAATTCCAACATAATTCTGCGAAATCTGTAAGGAAATCCCGAGGATAATTCCAAGT